TGAGCAGCCTAGCAGGATTTCCAGGTAGAATTTGGACGGACACTGGACAGGAGACCAGAAGAGGCAAGTTCCAGAAAGCCAATGGAAGGCATTTCAAGGAGGGGAGAGTGACCTCTAGAGACTGGAGACTGGAGAAAACGCAGACTGAGAAAAGTTCCTGGCAGGGGAACCACTGAATGCTGTGTAACTTGACAGAAAAATTTTAGTGGTAAGATTGACAGAAAGGAAGGAACGATGAGGGAATGAAAACAGTGGGCTTGAGCCACAGACGTGATGTGCATGCCACTTGCGGGCAGAGAGGCAGTCACTTCAGTCTTAGGGCCTAGGGCGGTTGTCTCAAGGCAGAAAAAGGTCAATGGAGGGGTCTGAAACGCAGCTGCTAAAGGCCTTCAGATCCAACAGAACTTCAAGGTGAATTCTCTGCAGGTGGCAGTAAGGTGTCTCTTTCCCATCTGGCACTGGGATTGGCTCCTCCCTTCTGCACACAAAGTGGCCTTACATGTCTAAAATGAACTCCCTCCCATTCAGAAATGCTTTCCTTCCTAGTTGAGGAAGTCATCGTTTTGACTTAGAAGTCTTCTAGGCTATAAGCATGTAGGTATAGACGACACTTTTTGCCTCAGGAAAGTGTTATCACTAATCCCACTATCTCTCATGTCAATAAGAACCAGGTAAGATTGCTATTAGAGTCCAGGTTTTTGACCTAGAGATTTCAAATAGCCTGGCTGAAAGGAATCCTGAGCTCCATTTGGACTTGATTCCAGATTTTCCAGCCAACCAACACCAATAAAGCTACACTCTGCTCCCCACCCCTGGATAATTCAAGTGCTACCTGACTTTCTCTTGGGGAAGCAGGAGGACTACTTAGGCCACCGTCTTGATCTAGTGGTGTTTATTTCTCTCTGGAAAGAAACATTGACTTTTTACCACCTTTCCTGGGAGAACCAAGGCCAGTTCCAAAGGATCTGCCAAAGGACGCACGTTTCACTAAATTAGCAGTTTGCATATGTGAACCTTGAAGTGCTTGGCAAACCCAAATGAATTATGCAGTCCCACAATCTTAGGAGGCAATGATGGAGGGGCACTTTGCTCTGTGCACCTGAACTTCCAGTGTCATCCAGTGACACTGGAGAGCTTTAACATTTGTACTTAGTACACTTCCCACTGGTATTAACCAGCTGTCATTCTTCATTGTCAGTGAGCACTCTTCCTTGTCCAAGGCCACAACACCAACAGGAGGTCTCTGTGGGCTGGCACCCACCAGCTCTCATTTTTCTAACTACCACTGAGGCCCTGTCTTCCTTGCTGCCTGTGTAGTCACCTGGCTCAGTTCCAGTTTCTCTATTTGGATGTGAATGTCACTTAGCCAGTTTGCCCACATGATTTCCCAGACCCAGGAAGGGACACGCCTTGATGCAGAGAGATGCAATCGCTGATACCACCGTGAAAAGGAAAGTCCATCCTTGGTATGGATTATGCGCTTTTCTTTTCATTTTTTGTGTCAGAAGCTGTGGTCATGTCATCTGTTTTGGTGGGGCATTTCATTCCCTCTGATGAATGCCCATTTGCCTTGGATTCTTCGAGGATACAATTTTCTAGCCAAATGGGTTTATGCTTATTTATGCTTAGGATTCCAGACTTCACAGAGGTTGCTTAATCCAACATCTCTGCCTCCAGGCAATGCCTTTTTCTAGAGAATCAAAGAAATTCTGTGCATTCTTAAAATAAAAAGGTGACATATAATTATAGGTCCTGACATTTCCAGGGATCAGTCTGGAAATTACATAGGGTAGCCCTGAAATAACCTCAGTTCATTAGCAATCTCTCTTTGACAAAGTTAACTTAGGTAGCCTTGACCCTGGTCAGGGCCCCCCACTTGCCATTTGCTCTTGAGTTTGGGGACTCTGTTAGTCCTGTGTCCAGAACCTTCCCACAGCTTGCCTAAGAGAGAGATAAGGTTCAGGGAGTTTTAGGTTCTTAACATGGCTCTGCTTTGCACAAGGACTCAAGGGCACAGGTCCCTCTTCTTCTCCCCTTTCCTGCACATAGGCCCAAAGTGAGATTAAGGCAATGCAAGCTTAGGAGCCAGCCACTAAAGTAGGTGGTGGGATGTGAACAAGTCACAGTTGCCCTCTGGGCCTCTCAGGTTCCCATACACAAAATGAAGGGGTTGGACAATGAGCTGTTCTTTGATCCCAGTTCAATCTAGCAACTATAAAAGCACTGAGGGATTACTTAAATGAATAAGGCTGGACTCCTGCTCTTGGAAAGCATCCTGGTTAGTGACTGGAATGAAATGAAAATCTCCTGAGCCCCTACTGTGTACAAGGCACAGTGCAAGGTACTTCGAGCTCATAATCCTCAGCGTAACCTTTAGAGACCAGTGTTCTCATTTCTGATATGGTTAAGGAAAGTAACCGGCCTAGCTAGGGAGTGGCAGGCAGACCCCAATTCTGCTAGCCACCAAAGTCCAAGTGTTTACTGTCCATCCATCAGACACTTGCAGAATGAGGTAAATGCTACAACAGAGGTGCAAAGGAGCTCTGGGAACACGTTGTCTTCATGTTTCCAGTGGCTTCCTTCCCTAGCCAAGGACTCTGTTAGCCTTGCCACTTGGGTCCAGGCTGAGCTCACTCAGGGAGTCAGGCCCTACAGGACTCGCTGCCAACCTCCCACCACCCTAACTCTCAGAATTTATTCTTTACTCCTCTTCTAGGAATGTCAGCCCATTTGTAACAATAACAATAATCCTTTCCACACCAGCACACTGCTTCATGGTTTACAAAGCATTTTCACATCCATTATCTCATTTAATCCCTTACTCCTCTACACTCCTACAACATTTTTTTGGTATCTCTTTTTTTTTTTGAGGAAGAGTAGCCCTGAGCTAACTGCTGCCGATCCTCCTCTTTTCGCTGAGGAAGACTGGCCCTGAGCTAACATCCATGCCCATCTTCCTCTACTTTATATGTGGGATGCCCACCACATCATGGCGTGCCAAGCGGTGCCATGTCTGCATCTGGGATGCGAACTGGTGAACCCTGGGCCACTGAAGAGCAACTGCTGTGCCACGGGGCCGGCTCCTTGATATCCCTTTAGTATAACATTCTACCTTGCCTAACAGGCCTATTTCTCTTTACTGTGTTCATCTTGGCTCAGAAGTTCCATCCTATAATTTAGGTATCTCAGCACCTTGCACACTTCTGTGCACAAAGTGGGGGTGACAAAATTTTGCCATATTGAATCCTCACGGTGTTGTGGATCATTCTCATTACTGCCTTCTTCACCCCTTTGATACAATTGACATTTGGTTGCCTACTAAGGGCAAAACTGGGTTCTTTGGGGATAAATCAGGGGAGGAGATCAGATCAATCAGGGGAAGACAGAAGTGAGGGCACCTGGTAGGCCACCATGCGTGCTACAGGAGTCTAGAGTGACTGATTAGTTTTGTCTGGGGGTAGGTAGGAAGCAGGAATTCTTCTTGGGAGGGTCCTACTCTGCAGAGAAGGAAATGGGCTGAAGAGTCTGACAGGTGACGGAATCAGAAAGGGCCACAGGCTTGACTCTTGGGAAGGAGTGGATGTTCCTCAGAAAAATTCTCCTCAAAGAGGAAGGAGGGCTAAATGGGTAGCTTTTCCAGAAAGGAAGTATACACTCCTCACAATTTTCTGGAGCAGAGGAGGCAAATGGTCGCAGTTCTTAGGAAAAGAGGAACACTTTCTGCAACACTCAGATGCTGTTTAGAAAAAGTGCAGAGAGCACAACTCCCTGGCATTTCTTGAGTAAAAGGGCTGAGGAAGCCACAACCTCCTGCAATTCCTCTCTGCAGAGAGAAAGTGGGTGCGTGAAGTTCCAAATTTCTCCTTTGGTGGGGGTAGGGACATACAAGGCAGGAATTTCCCGTTATCTTCAGAAATGAAGGCCAGGGGCACACAGCCCCTACTGCTCAGACAAGGGAGGGAGAGGGCCAGTGGCCCCCAATAGTGCTCCCCAAATATTCCTCGGGAAAGGCAGTGGGTCCGGAATTCCCCAAAGTCTCCTTAGCAAAGGGGACAGGGGCCCGAGCCCCGACAAGTTTTCTTAGAGAAGAGAGCTGGGGTCCCGAATCTACAAAGTCATGCTTATCCTGGCAATTCTCCTCAGAAAAGCGGGAAGGGTAAGAATCGCCAAAACTCTTCTCAGCAAAGAGGCCAGAGTAAGAGCCTCCAAGATTCTTTTCAGAAGAGGGGCCACGGGCAAGATTCCTGAAGATTCTCCTCGGAACAGGGACCAGGAAAAGAATCCCGAAGATTCTCCACAGAACGGGGACCAGGAGCAAGAATCCCCAAGATTCTCTTCAGAAGAGGGTCGAACTCAAAGCTCTAGTCAGAAAAGAGGGCTGGGGCAACGAACCCCGCCCCCGCCCCACCTCGGAAAGGAGGCCGAGCCACGGCTCTCTCCGTCCCCTCAGAGCGCGCCTCACGCGGCCCCGCCCACCGCCTGGCGTAACCATCCCACGCCCGTTTGGCCCAGGCCGCCTCCGGTGCATTGTGGGTGGGGCGCCCCTGCTGAGCGCTGCGTGGAACCCCCAGCCCAGCCAGTTGTCGGCCGCCCGGCTGCCCAGCCGAACCGCCCTCCCGGGTCCCAGCGAGCCGGCCACGGATTGACGCGTCCCCAAGCCCCGCCCCTCGCGGCGTTCCCGCCCCGAAGTCTTAGCCCCGCCCCTGAAGGACCCTGACTGGCCCTGAGGCCCGCTCCACTCTCCTATTGGTAGGCCTCCTGTCAGTCACCCCGTTCCACCTCCTCGGGCCCGCCCAGGCCTCCGGCGCGATCCCGAGGGCCAGCCGGCCCGCGCGCTCATTGGCCGCCGGGCACTGTCCGTCGTGAGGCCGGTCACGCCCTCTATGGGGCGCGGATCCCGGGAGCCCTGGCTGGACCCCATTGGCCTGCCGTGCCGCCACTCGCCGAGACGCGCCTCAACCCGGAAGTGTGTGAGGCGAAATCTGCCTAGCAACCGGGGAAGCCAGGCTGGGAAGCGGGCAATTTCAGTGTGAGACACAGCGGCGAGACCGAGCGGCGGCTCCAAGCGCGGCGCGGCAGCTCCTCCCGCCCGGGGTCAGTGCCCCGGCGCGCGCACGCGCACCCCCGCCGCCGGAGCGCGCCTCGCGCCGCCCGCTCAGTCGATCGGTCGGCTGTCTGTCGCCCTGTCGCCGCCACCGTCGCCGTCGCGTGCGCCACTTGAGGGAGCCGCCGCCTCGGGACCCGAGCGGACCGGACCCGACCCCGCCACCCGGGGCCGCCCGGAGCCTAACAGCCGCCAGCGGGGGCGCCGAGCAACTTCGGTGAGTGAAGGGCCGGCGCTGCTGGTGGCGGGTCCCCGGCTTCCGGTGTCCCGGGCTTGTCTGGGGCTTCCGCTTCTCCAAGGGGACCGCCTCCAGTGCGTGGACCCCCTTGTCCGAGGGGACCCGCCTCTCTGAGGGGAGCCCACTTCTCTGAAGGACCCCACCTCTCCGGGAGCCCCGCTCCTCTGAGGGGAGCCCCCTTCTCTGAGGGAGCCCCCACCTCTCTGAGTGACCCCACCTCTTGAGGGGAGCCCCTTTCTTGAGAGACCCTACCTCTCTGAGAGACCCTCACTTTTCTGAGGGGACCCCCTTTCTCTGATGGACGCTTCGCTTTTCTGAGGGCCACCCCTCTCTAAGGGACACCCCCATCTCTTTGAGGGACCACCTACTTCACTGAGAGACCCCTCCTCCCTTCTCTGAGACTCCCTCTGCCGACTTCTCTAAGGCGACCCCTGCTTCTCTGAGGGACCCCTGCTTCTCTCAGGAGACACCTCTGCTTCTTGGGGACCCTCCCCCTCACTTCTCTGGGGGACCCCCACATCTCTGAGGAGATCCCTGCTTCTCGGAGCTGCTGTCCCCTTTTTCTGATGTGCCCCTTCTCCCCTTGCTTTTCTAAGGTGCCTCCCACTTTTCCTAGGTCCCCTTTACCCCCCTTTTCTGAGATGATCTCCCTGTTTTTCTGTCCCCACTTCTTTGGGTGATCTTCTCCTTCTCCCAAGTGACCCTCAACTAATCTGAGGTGTTCCTACTTCCGTCAGAATCTTTCTTGGAGATGTTCCCCACTTTTCTGAGCTGTCCCCACTTTTGTTGGGACCCCCTCTTTGTTGATGAGTTCCTTCACTTTCCTAATGGGTTCCCCACTACTCTGAAATGCCCATATGTCTGACTGGATCCTCAGTTTTCTGAGGAAAAGTTCCCCACTTTTCCAAAATATTTCCCAGTTCTTTTGGATCACCTACTAATCTGTGGATGCTGCAATGTTTAGAGGCGTTTGCAGAGGTTCTCCCCCTAATATATGTCCTGCTCCTACGGGCCCCTCATATCTCTGAGGCATGCCTCCACTTTTCCAAGATATCCCCTCCTGATGAGAGACAGGGTGGATTTCTCCACTTCTCTAAGGGGTCCCCCTGCATTCCAAGGGGTTCCCCTCCCACTTGCCTGAGGACATTCCCCCTTTCTTGAGGTTTTCCTTCTGATTCTCTAAGGGAGAAACCAATTCATTTCTCCTTGGAGCCCCCGACTTCAAGATTCCCCTATTTCTGTTTGTTGCACTGACTTCCCTCCATTCTGGAAGGAGAGGCCAGAAATGTGCCCCCTCTTCCAGTCTTCTTTCTTACCAAATTTGGGGTCTTTTCTGAACTTTTACCTGAGCTTCCAGGGACCTGGTGGATTTTGTGGCTGGAAGGGAAATGGGAGACAGGCAAAAAACACTTTTTCTCTTGTCCTTTAAGACCTGCTAGATTGGGGGGAGCGGGAGCTGTTGCCAGATGACTACCTTGGTTACTCCATTTTTGAGCTATAGGCCACCACAGTGTTGTCAGGCCAGTGTGAAGGCAGGAAGGACAAGGCTGGAACATTGTCCCCAGATTATCACACTCTCAAACTGTGGGACGACCCACTTCCTGTCCCATCCCTCTGTCCTCCCCGCCCCGCCCCCCCCCGCCCCCCCGGCCCCCCCCCCCCCCCCCCGCCAAAAAAAAAGGAGAAGAGAAATGCTCCTTCAGGTCTTTCTGCTGTGTTTTCTCTCACTAGGCCTTCTGATTTACTCCTTGATCTCTAGAGGATCCTCAGTTTGTGGGCCGCTCTGGTTTGAAAGGCAGAGCAAGAAGCAGGAAATGGGTCACCTTAGAGCCAGGAAGGGTGGAAGGGAGGCAAGGCACAGGGATTTGACTTCATTTCTCTTAAGTTTTAGGTGACTTCAGCCTGGCTGAAAGGAAGTTTTTACGTGGCTTTTACAAATCTCATATGTACCTTTTTTTAATGGCCCACCCTGGATTCCAAGTTCACTCCAGTAGCTAATTTTATCTGCTTTGCCAAATGCAAAGCTCTCTGGAGCCCAAGTAGATGAATGCTGGCATTGAGAGATGGTCCAAAAGACAGGAATGAACTCAGTTTGAAACCTGAGTAACTCGTAACCACTTCATGTCCACACACAAGTCTCAGGCTAAAAACGTGGGGAGAACGTTCCTGAAGTGGAGTTCTGAAATGTAGGCTGAACTCCTGTTTGGTTTAGCATTTCAACAAGTTCTTCCCTCTGACTCTGCTAGAACAGCAGTTCACTTTACAGTTTTACTTAAGGCTGTCTCTCTCCTGTTCATTTCCATCTGGATCTTGCTTAATTTGAGTCCTTTGTGAAGACTCCTGCTGAGGCTATAATTTGAGTTCTAAATCTGTCGATGGACCATGTGGACACAAGTTTCAACTCGAGCTATTTTCTTCTGTGGAGAAGTGTTTGGAGAGTTTCCTGGGCCCTCTGCTCCTGGAGTAGTCAAGTCCAGGCAGGAAGCTGCTGCAGACCTGGTTGCTCTTCTACTGCCTCTTCCTGGTCAGCTGTACACACTGCCCTGAGGGGAAGGGGAAAGATAGTGGGAGCTCAGGGCTTAGGGTGTCCTGAGACAGGGCAGAGACGTGCCGACACACATTTATTATTTTAAATGAAACCCACAGGACCAGCAAAGTGGAGTGTTAGAAAGGGAAGGGGGAGCTTTGAAGTCAGAAGGACCTGATTCAGATTCTGGGTCTGTCCTTCCTAGTTGTGTGGCCTTGGACAAGTTATGGCACAGAATCGGCATTTACTAAATATTTGAGGGGTCATATCTCTGTAAATGTATGTGAAGGTGCCTACACATGGGATGTGCTTCCTAGACATATGAATGAATGAATCTGAGATAATGAACGGGAGGCGGCCAGCGTAGCACCTAGCACACGTGCAATAAAGGTTTGTTGTTGTACGCAGGAGATTAGGATTTTGGCCTGGGCTCCCAGACTAGGAAGCACTTGACATTCAGCCAAGGCTAAATATGCCCAAAGAGAAAGAAACTTGGTATGTCTCTTGCAAAACCCACTGTCCTCCTGGGTCTTGTAGCATTTTCCTGTGTTCAGATAGCAGATGTGAGATGCATTTGCTGTTTGGCAGCCGTTTGTGTTTGCCTTGGCCTTGCCTTTTCCCTCTGTAAAATGGAGTAATTTGTGATTTAAGGGCAAGTAGGGAGATGTATTACTATAATTAGACCATAGGCAAACCAGAAGATTATAATGAACTTGAAGAATTGTGAGAAGAAAAAAGTGGGTGAACCATAAACCTAAAGGGTTATATCTATATTTTGAGACTGCTTGAGTGAGTGATATGCAGCAGTTACCTGGTGATTGATCTCTTCTTATGCATTAGAACCTTGAAAGAACAACTGTTTTCTTAGGGTAATGGATCAGATTTGGGGACAAAAGAATGAGAAAGTGATGTACAAAGGCATTTGACACCACACAATAATAGAACATTGAGAGGGCCAGTGTGTGGCTTAGTGTCCACAGGAGATCAGGATTCACCTTGAACTTCCAGTATCTAGAGAGCTGTGGAGATGCTAACTCAGCTTCTGGGGGTTGGGGGTGGGCAGGACATTTGTTTTTTTGAGAGGATTCTTTCTTAGCAATTAATGAAAGCCCTAAAATCAGGGCCAGTGAGTTGGGCCCAGCCTTTTTCATTTACTAGTGTGGAGATGGATGGCACTTGCCCCTGATAGCTAAAACCCAGGGAGAAATAATGGGTGAAACTCTGAGCTAGGGCCCCACTGGGCTGCTCCCAAGTTTGAAGAAAAGGTTTCTTTCCTCCCCCAACCCCTCTTGAAACATCCCCTCTCCCACCCTCATCTCTGTCTGTCTGTCTGTCTGTCTGTCTCTCTCTGTCTCTGTCTCTCTCTCTGTCTCTGTCTCTGTCTCTCTCTCTCTCACACACACACACACACACACACACACAAAGTGACTTTACTGGTGCTGGCCCCGTGGCCAAGCGGTTAAGTTCGTGAGCTCTGCTTCGGTGGCCCAGGGTTTCGCCGGTTCAGATCCTGGGCACCGACACTGTAGTGCTCATCAAGCCACGGTGAGATGGTGTCCCACATGCCACAACTAGAAGGACCCACAACTAAAAAATATACAACTATGTACTGGGGGGATTTGGGGGAGAAAAAAAAAAAGAAGATTGGCTACTGTTGTTAGCTCAGGTACCAATCTTTAAAAAAAAAAAAAGTGACTTTATTTAAATTTTATTTAAATTTTTCTTAATTCTTTTAAGGATAGTTATTCCATTATATGAGAAAAGAGCAAAGTTTATTATTTTTAAAATATAAAAAATAAAGTAAACAACTTTAAAGGGATCACTATCCCTTTTGAAATTATGCTGTGTCTCTTGTGTGCTACAGACTTCACTCTGGTGGATGGTGGCGCCACCACCAAGTCTCTTTTATCTAACAGGAAGTTTTTTAAACTTTTTTTTTTTGATTGAAAGATTCTTACAGCAATAAAAACCCTTGGGTAGTTAGAAATGATATTGATCTAGGTACATTTATTAGATGTAATGTAACGTGGTTATCCATTGGTGGGCAGCTCTAAAAGGCATGTGGGTCCCAACACTGCCCAGCATCTAACTCTGGATGATAAACTGTTGATTTATATAACTGAAATAGCTAGGGAAGTCAGGGTTTCCTTCCTGTTGGAGACAGCACTGGGGGCGTTAAATCCCTGTGGGATCTTGATGATAAGAAAGAAGCTGACCTCTTTTGGAATTGGGAAATATCTACTGTATGGAGTGGTTCCATCCAAATGAATGGACGGTGTTATTTTAAACTTCTAGTATTAAGTTTGGCTTTATCTTCTCTGCAGCCCAGTAGCCTTTGTTTATACTGGTACTTCATTTGAATATGAATTTATCCCTCCAAACTGGCCTATAAGGGACATTTGAGCACTCAAGTAAGGACGTTACTTACCACAGGTTTTCCTGTGTGGCCATA